GAATATTGATCTTTTTGCTTTTTGGATAATTGATTTTGTGGAATTTATAGTCTTGTTAGTATTTTTGGTGTTCCAAAACAGTTAATGTAGTTGCAGCGTTTAGATAGAACTTGGTGAAGACATTAAATTATTTGCATAGAAGTGTTAATTTCAATGCTATGATTCATGGTAATATCATATCTTAATTTCGTAATTATAGCTATTGATTTTATACTCGTTTATTGCATAATTGATTTTGTTTACACGTGGTCTTATTCCGCAATGAATTTTGTGGTTTTTTGAGTAGTTCTGGACATCTAGGGTTTGATGTGGGTATTGGGATATACCACCACAGTTGCTTCTTTGTTTTTCTGATTTAGGCCAATTTTCTTGTCTCATACATTGTATTTTTGACAAAAAGGCGATTCCTATGTATGTTGTAGTTAATACTAGTATTTCATCAATTATCATTCGAATTCGTCGAAGATATTAGTGTCAACTAGTTTCTGAATATTTTGGAGTGAAAGTATTTTGATTGCACCTTCGGGCTTTAATGAAATTTGGCCCATAAATGAGGGCATTGTTTACTGAATTAGTATGTATGCTAATTTTATGGTTCTAACCTGTAAATCCGACTGGTGGGTTGAACTGGTCACCCCATGGTTCTATTGGCCAACTTGGGGAGCGGGCTCAGCTGAATCAGCGAATTGTTTTAAAAAGAAAAAGAGAAATGTTGATTTTGAATCTTGGTAGTGTGAAAATATTAAACAAGGTTTAGGAATCTCAAATCAATTTTAAAACAATATTGTTATGACATATTACTCGTAGAAGCACGTTTTTTGGGTGAACCTGTCCTCGCCCCGATCCCGTAGGGGAATCAATCCTATTCCGCCCCACCCCCACCCCACCTTTTTTTTCCCAAAAACACCTCCTCCTCCTTTTGAACAGGCCATATAGGTATCTGGTCACCCCGACTGCCCAGACAACCAGGACCCCTGACCGCTTAGGCAGCTGGATCCGCCTTCTTGAACATTGATTTGGGTGATATGTCTCAATAGTTTATCCCCAGTCAATGGGATTTTACATTGTTAAGAAAATAAGATGAGAATTACAGAACTTAGAGTTGGAAAGAGACTGAGGAGGGGTCCAGAATTTTCCTTCATGTAATCCACATTCCATCTTGATACAGCAAAATCTTTTGCATCACCTGCATTCATTCTTAATTAGCCTCCCCTGATCATGTTGGACCTGGTTCTCCAAGTGGGCTTCTCTAACAATTATCAGAATTTAGAAACGTTGGTTCATAGATCAGTGTGGGTTCTTTCACAGTTTTTGACATGTTCCTATTTATTTTGGGACGAATATGCTATTTGATGCTTGGGCTTCTAAAAGATTAACCATTATCTTAGTCCTTTCTTAGTTTTTGTCCACTAGTTGTTTTTCATTGATCGGTAGGTGTTTTCACCTTTCTTGCTTATGTCATGGTGCTACCTTTCTTATTTTCTTATTTTCTTTTTCTCTTCTAGTAAGTTAATCTCTCATGGGATTTAAGACTTATAGAAACTTACTTTGTATCTTAGTCCTCATTACATTATATAAGGATTTTAGTCTTTATTTTTTTATTTAATTTCGTTTATGATTGTGACAGGTTGAAAATGTTAAAGCACTTCTTGAGGTGGAGGTGTGTTTTCCTTGGAAGTTCTTCTGTGGTTTTAAATTCATAATTTGCATTCATTGGAGTACATTTATTTATTTCTTTCTTCTTGGAGTTTGGAGGTGACAGGCATTATAGCTTAGGTGAAAAGATACTGAAGTTCAACAATAGATTCAAGTATACCTAACCCAATAGACCATTCATTCTTTTCCCGTTTTGTAGATACGTGTACCTCTCCAGCAACAGCAGTTGGTTTTTAATGGAATGGAGATAAGGAATTCTGAGCGTCTGCGATCTGTGGGAATTGGAGAAGGAGACTTGATTATGATGGCGTCAACATCCAGGTACATTCCTTTTGCTTGGCTAGTTTGACTATTTGATGGTAGTTGTGTTGGGCCCAGATTAATGATGTGGGAAAGCATATTACAATCCAAAGGACATTTAGAAAACCATAGTCTATATGTCATTCCTGTCAAATGAAATGATGATTCTTATGGTGAGAGTGGAGCCCATCATTGGGGTCATGTCTTGTTCTGGTGGATGCTGGCCTTGTTTATTGAACAAACACTGGTGACCTTCTGGACTACGGTTATTCCATGGTGACCTTCCCCTGTAGTTTACATAACAGGCTAGATTGATACACTTTTTTTTTGTGGTTTTTTGAGAATCTCATTTTGGTTGCATTGTGGAATTTCTATTTTCGACACAGTCGCAACTTTTATTTGAATACGATTTATTTGAATGCTTAGGAAGATGCAGTCGTGAATCTTCTATATCCAAGTCACTGCTAAGAGCCTTAGCTTCTTCGGTTGATATTCCTTCTGTCCTCTTGGATTTGATATATATTTTTCCTTCTCTTGGATTATCTATAGATCGTCATCATGCACTCTTTAGCACAACCTAGTTTTTTAAAGTATAGGCAGTTAGGCAACAAAGTAAGCCTTTATTTTATCCTCCAAAGGAGGTTGAAACCTCTTCCAAAGGAGGTTGAAACCTAACATGCTATGAGAATAGGATTTATGGATTCTTTACATGAAGCCCTAACACACCCTGTTTATTTTTGTTGTAACCTTTGTCTCGGAGGTTTTGCACTTCATCTTGTGCAGTTACCCCATTTTGTTAGGGAGTTCCACAATTTTAGCTCATATCTCATCGTTCTATAGTGATAGAGATTTCATAGGAGCTACGCTATGAAGTCTAGAGTATACTGGTTCTTTAAGTGAAGCCCTGACCTAGGGAAAATACTCCATCTAGGACTGCTTTTTACGACCAAGTCTTTCAGTTTGTATGGGTCTTTGTGAGTTGTGCGAGCTAATTCTGAAGTGGATAGTGCGAGTCTTTTATGAATCTCTTTGCCGTCATATATGAAGTTGTACTCAATATAGTTCCTCCTTTTAGTTTTGCATTTTTTAACTTGTATTTCTTAGTCAATATTGGTATGCTGGTTCATTTATCCAGTGGCAATGCTTCTACAAACGATCTGAGCTTCAATCCAGATGGCTCAGCTGTGAATCCAGGAGCCCTTCAGCAGCATTTGCGGCGTGACTCTAATCTGATGGCACAGATGTTGCAGGTACATGTGCTCTTCTTATTTTCAATCTTAAAAATTCATATAATAATAGAAATCTAAAAATTTCTTGCGTAGTGTCAGTAATTTTGGAGCAAAATTGCAGTGTACACATGTGAATCTCTTCAGTAGATCTAAAGAAAAAAACTTCTGTAGTATTTGCTTCTTAATGTTTTTAAGAAGCAAATAATTTGTCACCCAATGTTATTAGGACTGGACTGGTCACTGAATTCGTGAGGACACCAAGCCTGGTCCAGACCACTAAAATCAGCTGGTTCACTATTCAGGCCTGTTTGGAAAAAAATTATAAAGAACTTGCCCAAATTGGGCAGAGCAATCTGCTCTTCATTTTTTTACTATCAATTCACCTTCACATTTGACGTTGATCATCCTCTAAGTGTTCAACTCATGCATAGTGACACTGTGCAAAGAATTTAATAACAAAAAAATAGAAGTATTGATTATAATTATTATGTTCAATTACATATTATACAAAATATTTATAATGAATGAATGATGACCTAGGGTATCCTCTATGTTACGAGGACTCGGATACAATAATCAGTGATTCAGAGAATCTGGCTCACCTACCGAATTTTTCCAAGTTCAGCATGACACACCCGTGCAAGTCTGTTCAACGCATACATTTCTATTGATACTTATATGTAATTTTTTTTTGTGATGTTTTTATAAATTACATAAGAAAATAAAACATGTGGATCTTTATCAAGGGCACGGACTCCCAAATCATAAGACACATGCACTTACACGTGTCTTACAAAATGGAGACGCCTGTCTAACAATGTAAAAACAAGTGTCTTTCAAAATGCACGCACATGTTTTATTTATCCATCTATGGACTTTCATGTCAATATTGCAGGAACACCATGTCTGTAAATTCAAAGAAGGAAATTTCTGGTTGACAAGGATATTCCATGTTTTTGCCCATCTTGTGTTTCAGCATGTGTGACAAGTGCGTTGGCTGGTCAGATTCTCCTAAATGCACGTTACATGCATGTTGTTGCATAGAGTGTAGTTAAATTGGTGCACTATTGCGTGCCATTTGCTTGTCTAGTTATCTTGTAAACAACTACTTCACATTCATCTTGTAAACAACTACTTCACATTCATTTATTGCCTTCCACAGAACTTTTCATCCATTTACAATGAAGATTTAAAGAAAAAGACGTATTCCTCGCCTCTATTAAATCATAATCCCAAATAAAACCCATGGAACCCAACCAAGTTAAAATAAAATGATTAACCCCTCGGCACCTTTTCATTGTCCAAATTACAATATGGGAAAGTATATAATGAGACCATTTACCTTTGGTACAAGGTGGTCACAATTAATCTTGACTATTGGATTTTAAATTGGGTGGCTGTATTTATTTCATTGACCAAGTTCAAACTTCAAAAGAAGTTTTTGTGAATATTGTAGCATACCCAAGCTATCACATTTCACGTCAGATGGTTATAAGTAATTGTGACCTCCCTATACCAAAGGTAAATGATCTCATTGTATACAATCCCTTACAATATTTGTCCTTTTTATTTTTATTCTAATGACCACTTTATTGAAATCCTAGAAAAGCCCCTCTCTCTCTCTCTCTTGCTCAACCATGAATCCTTCCTCTCTCTCTCTCTTGCTCAACCATGAATCCCTCCTCTCTCTCTCTCCCTCCTCTCTCTCTCTCTCAATATCCCTTTAACCCTTATATATATCTCTCAACTCATGAACCTCACAAATAGGTTAAAAGAGGCATTTCAAGTTCTATTTATATAATGAGGTTATTAGACAAATGAAAAAGGCTAAATGTTGTTATTGGGACAATGAAAAAGGTAAGGAGGGGTTAAACGTTATTTTTTTGTTTTTAAACTTGGAGAGGGTCTATGGGCTTTTCATGGACCTAGGGGTTTAATTTGGATTATGATTTTAAAAAGGAGGGTATACATCTTTTTCCCTTAAGATTAATATACTCTCAATGATACTACTTGGTATGTATCTTGTATTTTGTATAGTATTAAAATAATTATTTCATTTTTTTTTCAATTTCCAACTATTTTATGCTATTTCTGGCCTAAACCATGTGATTTTAAACAAATTGCAGCTTTTCAAAAAGTCAACTTATATGTAAAACTATATGTAAGTTAATCTTAGATAGCTTTATGGTGGACATTGCCAAACAACAAATAATTCATTATCATGATTAATTTTCATGAATTGGTGAATTATCAGTGATAACCCTTAAGAGTGCTAGATCGTATATTCATTTTCTTTTTTGATTGGTTTTTATTGATGTTTTATTTATGGTCTTTTTTCTCTTTGAGCATGTAAAGTACGCTCCCATGGGAGACAAATTTAGTTTACTTCCTTGGGCAAACCTTCTTAAGAGGATTTTCTTGATTTGGGATTTTGGGATCCACTTTAGAAGCAAAAGATGAATATTATAAAAATAACATTAAAAAAAGGAAATGGATTTTGATACATAAATACCTAGATCTCTCTCTCCATAAATTGGGAGGCCTATTTGTAATCCTAGGGGGTGATTATTTTGGTACAGTTCCAGGGTACACAGTGAAGTTTTATCTGTCTAGTCGCTAGGTAGTAGGTCACATCCCAAAATTTGGGGTCTTAAAAGTACTCCTAGCTGGGTTTTGCCTCGGGGAGCATCGTATAGTTTGCTTCCCATGCTGGCATATTATATTTCCATTTTATTTTATTTTTCTTTTTCCTACTTTGGACTGGTTTGTGTGGGAGTTGAATTTAATACTTAGTTGTTGGTATTCATGGTGCATCATATTGTATTTCTCTTGCACTAGTTTATGAAAAACATGTCTTGTATAATTAACGTTTAAACTTGCTTTTGATTAATCTTTTTTTTGTTTTCTTCTGTTTTCCGTTTATTAAAGTTTGTTCATTTTATTAATATGTTTTCCATTTGCAGAGTGATCCAGCCTTTGCACAAATTATTATGGGAAATGACTTGGATGGGCTACAGAGTTTCTTGCGAGAGCGCCATAGACAAAGACTAGAGTTAAGGCGCCAACAAGAGGATGAACTTGTGAGGTTCTTCCTATCATATTCTTCTTTGCTTAAATTTTCTTTTGTAGGAAGTTATACCCTAATCCAAATTATCCAGGGACTATGGCAAACATACGCAACTGAAGTTATCACAATCCACTGAAATAATCGATGACGATGGACAAAGACTAGAGCCACCATTGGGTTATTTGTATTCTGGCATGGTTCTATCTTTTGGCATCTATCATTTCATTGGACAATGCCCATTGGATTATGTTATACTTTTCCTTTGTTCAATGACACTTTTCCTTTGTTCAATGACACAGTCTTGCGCCATCTGGTGTAACTGTCCCTCCCTTCCCTGTTGATGATAACTTCTTAGCAAGCCTTGTATTTATGTACCAAAAGAAAAGTATTTTTTTTTTTAAAACTATTTAACTGCAATGGCTTATCTAAAACAGTGAACTGTTTTATATTTCCGTCATATGGCCCAAACGATTTCTTGGAAAAAGGTAAAAACTCATATATCCTGACTTTATGAATGCATTAGTGACTTTGTCATTATTATACTCTGCAGGCACTCTTGCATGCAGATCCCTTTGATGTTGAAGCACAGAAGAAAATAGAAGCTGCTATTCGGCAGGTTTGGATTTTTTAGTTAGTAAACTAATTCATTGCAGATAAGTTTTCTAGGATCAAGGTAAAGCTAAAGTGATTTGACACTATGAAAATATTTGAAAAATTGCCATGCTGTTTTTAAGGAATATAATTTTTTAGTTATTCATTGACGAACAAGGAGTATTCCATGCTTTCCTTAGGCTTAGACTGTATTTTAATGAACCACTTCTTTGGGCTCCTTAAATTCTCGTAGTGGGTGCATTAGGTTTAGAAAATATGTTCTTTCTGCTTGATACTTGTAGGAAGAGTATGAAAATTATGAATACTTCAGTGAATTTTTTAGTCATGTTTTTTATTACGGCATCCTAGTCCCCTCTTATGGCTTTTATTAAGTGATTTTTGGTTAGCCGACAATTCCGGCAGAAAATTGCTAACGATTTTTTTCTAGCTTTAAATAGATTTTGGGATTCAATTTGAAATTTTTGTGATGTCGCTCGGAGTATTGAAAGGAAATAATGAGAATTGAGAATCTTTTCAATTATTGATTAAAATTTTTTGGGTTTCGATAAATTTTGTAATTTTCACTCTTTTGGGGATTTCAGAAAGGAATTGATGAGAACTGGGCGGCTGCATTAGAGCACAACCCTGAGTCTTTTGCACGGGTGGTAAGAGATTCTTATAAAATCAATTTTTTTTTTTTTTATCTAGTTTAGTGTTTGTCCTTCTTTTTTTACCTCCAATTGTTTGCATAAAATTGTTCAGGTTATGTTATATGTGGATATGGAAGTCAATGGGGTCCCTTTGAAGGTAGTGGCATTTATTATCATGTTAATCTCTTCCATTTCTGGCTAATTATTATAATGATTAAATCTTGGACTGAGATGAATGATTCATTCATTTTCTATCTGCTGGAAGCGAAATATCAAATGCTTGTAAAAACGAACTGGTCCAATTGGACATGTAGAGAAAGGCTACATCTTGATAAAACGGAGAATTGTTCGAAAGGTATTAAGCTAAGGTAATTAACTTGGAAGCTTTAATTGAAGACTTATGGTGGATGTTAATCTCGATGACAGGCATTTGTGGATAGTGGAGCACAATCAACAATAATTTCGAAAAGTTGTGCAGAACGCTGTGGGTAAGAACTTCTTGTCTGAGCAAACAAGCGTCCATTCTCTTCTGCTTTCACATATTGACGGTGAGATTCTATCTGTAGGCTGTTGAGACTTTTAGATCAGCGTTATAAGGGCATTGCTCATGGAGTTGGTCAGACAGAGATATTGGGTCGTATACATGTAGCACCAATCAAGGTAACTTGTCAACTAATTCTTTTAGTGCCTAAGATCACCTATTACTTTTTTCATGTTCTAGGTACCTGTATTATCTCTAAAGTGTGCTAGCTGATTGTGATAGTACATATAGATCGTTTCTATTACTATCACATTTTTCCCTGCTACTTTTAGATAACATTCATGTTCTTGTATGTATATCATATAATAGTATTTATCATATCCTTTTCATATTTGTCTAGATTATTTTGTCTAGTAATTTGGTCTTTGCTACACAACCATTTTGTTGATCATTTAAAAAGTATGCTATTATCCAATAGGCTATGAAAAATTGTCGTGATTAGTGTCATCATTGTGAAATGAATGTGTGTGTGTGTGTGTGTGTGTGAGAGAGAGAGAGAGAGAGAGAGAGAGAGAGAGAGAGAGACAGTGGAGTACTAGTAGAGAGAGAGAGAGA